GCACACACACACACACACACACACACACACACACACACACACACACACACACACACACTGATGGATTCCTTTGTCTCATTGTCTCTTACAAATAGTCAAATGTTGAGTTTTCAAAAGCGTACTTTACAATATTGGTTCAGTTTCTGTTGGACTATAGATGCAGTTATTTGCAGTTCTTGCTTATTCACATGCATTCGTGCTAAAAATTGATTTAGAATTAGTGGTTGCAGCTTAATGATCATTGTTCTCTGTGGGAAATATAGCAGAGGAAGGCAGATTTCTTCAAACCAGCTGTATTAGACATATAAGAAAGCCGTGTTTCCCAACAAAACATAAGTGTTTTAAGCCGTATGCTAGCAGCTAGCCTCCTGGTCCTCTGTGCTGTGTATATTCAAAACTACAACTTTAAGAAATATTGAAATAGTGTTGATGTGAAACTTCTTCCCAGGTCCAGGCTAAGTCTCTTCCAGTCCAGATCCAGTCTTCAGAGAGCAACCGTCAAGGTATGAGATTTAGATATCTCTCAACTGCCCCACATTTTGTTACATGTTGGTGTTGCATCTCATCAGTTATACACTTTCATTTCCCAGCTGAAAGCCAAGAGAAGCGAGTGCAACTCCAAAGCAACACACGCCCGTAACGACTACATTCTCATGCTAGCAGCCGCTAACGCTCACCAGCAGCGCTACTACAACACAGACCTCATGGACTGCATCAAGGTGAGGCTGACCGTCACTCTGAGTGGTTGAATGTGTGTCTGGTGGAAGATCAAACGTGTTCTCCGGAAACTTATAGGGGGGATATTTGTGTGCAGGTGTTAGACGGCAGGATCTACGAGCAGGTGAAGGATTACCTCGTCTCGCTGTGTCAGACGGAGCTGGAGAGTTACCAGGCCGTCCACAACACCTTCAACCAGCTCCTCAACAGCTCCAACGGGGTGAGTCTTCAAACACACTGGACAACCAGCACTTAAATTCTGTATAGTCCTTTTTCAAATCTGTTGACTGATGCTGTCAAGTCGGATTTTCTACTTTTATTCACTTAAATGAGACAGCTGCCCAGTGCTTATTTAAGAAACAACTGAAATATAAGATAGATAGAGCTCAAGTCCTCCCAAAAGCAATGTTTCTGCCAAAAACACTCTGTATCTTTGGTAAAAATAAATATATCAATTGTATCAGAACAGGTGATTCAATGTGTATTTAGTTAATTGTTTGGCTTGATTTCTTTTAAGGTACCTTAAGTGCTTTAATTTCCCACTAAAAAGCTGCACAAACCTTTGATAGGAATGAAAGTTTAGCTGAGAAACACGTTGAGGTTACCCTTTAATATGAGAAGATGTATCGCTCTACTCCCATGATTATACAGAGGTGTTACACAGTGGAGGGTTTGTGTATTCGTCAATATGGGAGTCAGAAGTAGTTTGCCTTCAAAAGAAATCTGCTATTTCAACACGACTTTTTACTTTAATGTGCAGCAGAATGCTCACATAAAGTGTGCAGGCTCAGGTGGACAAAACATGGGAACAGATATGAACTGAAATGAACTTATTGCACATATTAAACCTGGAACTAACAAAGCTTCAATGATTGCCTATAAAAACAACATTAAATAATCAGTTGCATTCATTTCTTATGGCTCTATCTGCAGCTTTTCCAGAGTCATTTCTTATGATTACATTTTTACACGGGCCGAAATTAAATCCACCAAGGGCCCGATTTGGCCCCCGGGCCTTGAGTTTGACACATGTGCCTTAGATGCATAAGTGGGTCTTTTTTGACCCGGTGAGGTGGTTTTCTTTTAGTATCTTTTTAATTACATTTTTTGTATCATTTCATATTCCAGCTATTCAAATTTTTTATTTAAATTTTAAGAAATTGTAGTTTTTGTATTTCACCTCAAGCTTCCATAAGTGGGTCAAAAATGGCCCGCATGCATTTCCTATGGCGGTCCTCTGGGAACCTTTGATTCTTATCACCTGTTGCTGTCAGGAATACATTCACTGTAGACCACACAGACGACATCACAAGTGACACCTCTCAGGGAGATTATTTTACACAGCAAGATCTGATACCTGTCAGTATAATAATAATAATACATTATATTATATTTGAATAGGGCTTTTCAAGGACTCAAAATCGCTTTACAATATAAGGGAAGGTTAGGGTGGGCTTATCAAACTTGATCAACCGGCATGGATTGATG